TTGTATAGTCTAGCTTCTGTACATACAAGAAATGGGCCCTTTGTCGTGCATTTGTGATCGCAAAATGGAGTCTAAAAGCGAATAAAAACTGTGGAAATGACCGCAGTATACAGAAAAAGGCATGTTCTTACGTTTATGGTAGAAAGGTATTGGTATTGTTCGGGAACTTGAAAGAAAGGACCAAAAGTGACAACTTTTTTCTTGGCCCCACCGGGCAAAAATGCAAAGTACACTAGGATCCGCCAACGAAGTGTAGCGTTAAAGCAATTCTTAGAGAGGTAACTTATGAGAGAAAGTTTTCTATTTGATCGAAGGCATATTCGTTGCTGGCTTTCGTTGTGGACGGCCATTATATTCGAATATAAAGCTGCATGTTTGAATGAGTCTTCAAATGTGACCCAAACGACATCCTTCATGAAAAAGAACGCCCAGCACTCGCTAATTCAGTAAATGCCTTCAAAAAGTAACTTATTTTAACAGACAGGTAATTCAACATCTGTCTTTATGGACAATCTGGTCAAAACACTGAAAATCATGAAGAATTCAGTCATATTTCACGGCCGACCTGAAACTCGACGTAATCCAAGACTAATTGAAAGCGCAAATTAATTTACCGGAAGAAAAGTCCTCTCTATAAGCACAAGATGGTATGTTTACGATCACGCCTGCCAATTCTATTTAAATTTCTTAGTTGCCGATTGGCCTGACACCATGTGACCTTATGAAAACGTTTGTTCCTTTGACGACCCCATCGGTGAAATCAAGCAAAATCCCGTTTCTCTTCTTAAACCGCACCCGATTCAACTCAAAAGAGTTATAAATACCATGAATACTCGGAAAACTGTTTTGGAATCTTTACTCAGCATGTACGCTGTTGACAAACCACCATATATTAAATTACACTAATTACTAAAGGATGTTAAGATGCAAGCTTCACTGGAACAGTATTTTTAAACATCATTTTATTTGTTCTTTCATATTTACTACGTTTTTGGCATGAGACGGCATTCTATACATCTAAAAACGAAGTTTACTAAGTTGCAGCCACTTTTTAAGTTTTCGAGATTTTGCGTCTTTCTAAAAATGGCATTTCTAAGCAACAGGACACCGCCTTTAGTACTTCTTTTATGTTTTAATCCTCTCACAGTTGTGCTTAGTTAACATAGGTTTTGGATCCCTGAATTGGTGTCGGTTTGCGAGTGATTGGCAATCATTCGTAAATTCCGACGCCTTTTATGAGTTAGGTAGCCTACTGTATCTTAGGATTATGCTGCACGACAATTATTATTGTAACCCCGCCTAAGTAATCTTGGAGAAGCAAAAACGTGTTTCGGAATTTCATTTTTAATCTCATAAGGCAGTACATCTACTGTACACAATCTGTGCAGCACCGCCTAGGAGGTAATTCAGTTTATGAGATAGGCAGTTTTTCGCTGAAGTACTGGTAAAAGTTACAAAATCGAAAAGATACCCATTCGTGCACCACTAGATCTTATTTATTTTAGGCGGTTAATTTGAACAACAACACCGACGTTAACTGCCTCTTATCGGTGAATTCGACAAATGGGCTTTCTGTAAGAAACACACCAGCTCTAAAAACGGCTAGATAGTGACAGTTCGACCATCGTTTTCGATTATGTCCACCGTGTGCCCCACAGTTGCAGTAGCAATGGGAGCAGGGACGGTGACTTACGCAGGGCTTTATAGTGCCGGTAGACTTGCGTAGCATCTACCTACACTCCCTCCTCCTCCCTCGCCCGAGCCCGGTGTCAAGACAGAGTTAAGAAGACCGGAGACGAGAGAGGCCGCAGATGGCTGGCTCGGACGGATCCTCACCTTGGCGTTCCACCACACCCCCTGGTCCACACAACAAATAACCAGGATTTCAACCAACACAAGAGAGATTTGGAGACTGGCACGGCCGAAGCCGCACCTGGGCGTGCCGCCAACGCCTGGCTCGGATCCCACACTGTGATGGGAGTGCCATAAAGGCCACATTAAAAAGGAGCCATTGTAGCCTGACTCTCAGAACGCCTCCGGTGAAGGAGGAGGTCCAAGTTACACCGTCAGTTGGCAACCTTCCAAGCCACGGCTTTTAGCACACCGTGATAGCTTCAAGCGCGTCAGATTGTTTATAGTGAGGAAAATGCGCTGAGTCGTCGACCTCACTCTCCCTTCCCACTCCCACACCCCAGCCGCTGTCCGAGCCGGTCAGCAGACTGGAGTGGGGAATGGGTGCGGTGGCTGTCATGGTCGACTGGCCATGACTGCGCGCGCCACGGCACGACCTGGCCCCCCATACACACAACACCAGGATTTCACACAACGGGGGTTGAACGGCGTGTCTCTCACTTGCGTGAGAGTGCCGTGGAAGGTGCTGTTTCAGCCCGTCCCCAGCCCACCAGTCCGCCACTCCACACAGCACACACACACAACGCGACGAACTGCGTGAACCGAGAGCGGACGTCAACCAGCAACCTTCCTATCCACGACGCTTGACGTGTCGGGATATTGTCGGACTCAAGTCACCCGTGCAGCCGAAGCCGCATGGGGACCGAGTCGAGATGCGGACTTCCCACTTGCGTGGGAGGTGGCAGTTGGGTGCATGAGGTGTGTGAGTGTTGATTTCTGGTGGGGTGATTGTGGTGGTGGAGGAGGTAGGGAGTGAGTGAATGTATGGTGTGGCCGGCGGTTGTCTACGGCAGATCGTCGTGGATGCGCATGTGGCCGAATAGGCCCATGTGGTGCCTGAAAGTGCGAGGGCAGTGTGGGCAGTTGAGACGAGCTTGGTTGGTATAGGTGGGTGCTCCAGGCACTGGTTCGCCAGTCTCTGTGCGATGGATTCGCAACTGACCGACCAGGCCGATGCGTGAGGTGAATGTGCGTGGACAGTGTGGGCATGAGAAGTCGGCGGTGTCAGTGTCAGCTACAGAGGAGGCGATGGTGGTGGTGGTGGTG